AGCAGCTCCACGGCAGCTCCACGGCAGCTCCACAGCAGCTCCACGGCAGCTCCACAGCAGCTCCACGGCAGCGCCATGTCCGTTCTGTTCTGTTTTTTGTTTTTATAAACGTTTTGTACTTTCCCACTGACTGTCTCACCTTGAATACTCGGCCCATCTGTTCATTACAAAAAAAATTAGCATTTTAATTAATGAAAATACTAAATAATAACTTTACTCTGTTTGGTAAATCACATCACAACAAAGTTTCCTCAATAGATCATAACATTCATTATCAAAGAGGAATCCTTAAAAATACTGAATAATACTAATATACTACTTAAATATATAATATTTATTAGTATAATATTATAATATAAAACTGTGTTTATCATATTAATATTTAATTACAAAATATATAAATTTGTATAAATTTTGTCCAGTTTGAGTTCAGTTTAAATAGGTTGTAATCTGAGTAAATGTAAGTAATTGTAATGTAACTGAAGGTCATTTTAGAATGTGAGTTTTAAGTGGTTGTGACGTCAGAGATTATCTTGATATTATCTTAATGTGATTAAAATGAGATCTTCTCCTATTCATTATTTCTGCAGCTGTCTAAACTATGGTCTGACCTAAGATGGCCGCCCTGTAGGCATGTCAGCCTCACTGCAGAGAGCATCTAATGAAGTGTCTCTGTATACAGAGTCAATGGAGGAAACTCTCTGTGTAAAATAGAAAACCTGCTTTCAGACATAAAAGATAATAATCTCTGAGCTTTTTGACTTTTAGACTGAAATTGTTTCATCACCATGCAAAGCATACACTTTTTACCATGTATGAGGAATGTGTGTTTATATATATATATGTGTGTTTATATGTGTGTATGTATGTGAGGAGCTTTAGCACAGCACAGTGAGAATCCTTTGAAAGGAACTGATGTTGTTTTGCCTCCTCCTATCTCTGTCGGCCTGTTTTTCTAAAAAAACAAAAAAAAAACATGTTGACCTGGATGAGCTCTGAAAGTGAGAAATGATCCAGCCGCCTGCTTCCAAATAAATTGGCTCTCATGGCATTTTAAGGGAGTCATCAAACGGGCCCCTGGGTAAGACCAATAAATAGCTCCATCAGCTTCACATCACATTTAACCACTAAAGGGACGAAGTTCTATGTCGAAGGCTTTTGGTGCAGATTTTCCATCCTTGACCCACTGGATGAAGTTTATTTTGGACGTGTGTGAGTTGTCCTCTATTGGGGGTGGGTGGGGGGGCGGGGCATGTTAAATGGGTTTTAAAGTATGCCAGTGAAACTGCCTCAGTTTTTTCATACAAAGACAGTGATGCTGGAAAACAGGATGAACCGTTTTACCCGTTCAGATACAGATGCTTTGGTTTTTACCACAGCTCTTTATTTATTTGCTCCTTTATCTCTAAATAAACCTAAATTTGTTCCCAAGTGTAAAAAAAATGTTTGATTGTAAAACCTTTATTAGAATCTTCACACACAAGTTACAACTGTTTTGTTCTCAAGACTTCACGGCCTGTGTTAAGACAGCATACTTATTCACCCACTTTATTAAGCCTTTGACCTTTGACCTACGCCCACACTTCTTACTCAGATATTGCTGCATTCCACTAACGCAATGCAATGCCCACCAGTTGTCTCTGGATCCAGAGGGGTTTTAAATATAAACCTTGTGAAGAGAGCAGATTTATTGTGAGGGGAAACTAACGTTTCCATGGAAACTAAAAAGTTGTGTCTAATTGGTAAGATGCTTCAAAGAGGTAGTGGAAAAAAAGACACAATAAAACCCTGAGTGGATGTTCTACATTCACACGTCTATCTTTCAAAAGTATTTACATAGAGGCAACATCAACCAGATCAGCCGTATTTCTACATGAAAGAGTAGAAGTGTAAAGGCAAACAGACAGACCCAGTTCACTCAGTCACTCAGAGTTCAATTCAATTCTATTCAGTCTATTTCTATAGCTCCAATTCACATCATGTCATCTCAGGTCACTTTCCAGTTCAACCAGATCATCCAGTCAGATTGATTCAAAGTTTTCTATCTAAGGAAAACCAGCTGATTGCATCGACTCTTCAGCAATCCCTCACACTAAGCATGCTTGTAGCGACAGTGGAGAGGAAAAACTCCCTTTGAACAGGAAGAAACCTCCAGCAGAACCAGGCTCAGTGTGAGCGGCCATCTGCTGAGGCCCACTGGGGTTCAAGGAGACAGAAGCAGACATAGAAAAAGAAGCATAGATACAAAAGGCAACTGTCAACCAGCTCCACAGGCGGCCCCGTCCAGGAAACACACAGCCAGGCAGACGAGCTCCGAGCCAGCTCCCATGTCAGAGGATGAAGAGAGCACATCCAGTTAGTCACAGTCAGAGAAACAGGACTACACTGGAAAACAGGCCAAGCTCCAACATCTAGAAACAAAGGTGTTGATGATATAGAGATAGCTCAGGATAACCTGAGCCACTCTAACTATAAGCTGTTCGCCCATTCATTCTGAAAAACAAAAAATAATTTAAATGTTGTCTCATATCCTTTTCTCCTCCTGTAAGAATCTGAGCTGAGTTAAATATTTTATAAGATCTTTTTTTTTTAATCCCCAGATAAAGTCTTTAGTGACTTTAATCTTTATAAGCGTGACGTTTTTTATGACAAAAGCTGTTTTTTATGTTTTTTATTTCTTTCTGAATGAACCGGGCGTGATTACTAAATAAATAATCAGAAATTAAATAAACTTTCTGACTGCAACTTTCTTTAAAATCATTTGGCTTTTATGCCTCCGATTTAATTTCAGTAAAATCCCAAATAGAAGAAAATCTACAATCTCTGGCAGCCGCTTCATTCTGGAAGAGCAATAAAAATGAGATTAAACACCTTTATTAACTATTTATTTGTCGGGGAAAAGGCAGCTGATATTCAGTGAAACTGTGAAACCAAATCTATAGAAGTGAGTTAATCTTTATATTAAAGAAATGTACCAAAATTTAACTTTGTTCTTTGAAGAATAGCAGCAGAGCTGAAAGTGGGAAAAGGGATTAATTCCAATAATCCACATCAAGGCTTATTGCATTTTTATTTTACATGCAATGATTCAATTAATAATCTGATTAATTTAGCGTCTGGCTCATAGAAAAACACAGATTTTGATCATTGGATTTCTGGAACTTAGTAAAACTGATTCGTCTTGTTTTATCTCCATATTTCGCTACATCAATTCTGGTTGATAAATTGTCTAATAAAGTGCTTTTTTTCACATTAAATAAAATTCTTCTCTCTCTCAATAAAGCAATGCTGCTATATTTAAAACATGGAAAATAGAAGCAGTGAATTTTATTTTTATTAAGCTTCATATTGTCATAATGGGTGAAGGACTCTAGCCCATATGCAGAACCACTCGGAGACTGGGTAAAGTTTAAAGGTTTATTTAAAGGACTGTAAAGTAATAAAACAAGTCCAGGGTTAGGGAAACTGATCAGGATTTGGTTCCCCGCTGGTCTGGGGATGAGCAGAGCTGCAGAGAGGTTGGCAGGCCGAGGGCTGAGGGCTAGCAGAGCTGAGTGCTGACAGGAGGTGAACTAACAGCTAGGCTGAGACAGTCTGAGTGCTGGCGGGCAGATTCCAGGCTTGGCTCTCTCTCTCTTCCTCTCTCTTGAGGACCTGGCTGAGGTGGGCGACCTTGAGGGTCCAGAGGCTGTCGGCAGGCTGAGGGCTTGGCGGAGGCAGAGCTTGGTTGAGTGTTTACAGATTCCAGGTTTGGGTTTTCCTTCTAAATTCTTCAGAGAGCGGGCAGGCAGGTCCTTGGCAGGAAAAATTCTCCAGGGTTCTTCAGAGATCAGGCGGGCAGATTTCCAACAGAGAAACTCTTCAGAGTTTTCAGGTTTTCAGGCAGGTTCAACCATAACTGGCAAACACTCTGGCGCTGGAGTGTAGCTCTCCGCCTCCTTAAGTAGGGACCTCTTGATGAGCAGATGGAAAACAGGTGTTGCAGGTGAGCACCAGCCCTCAGGAAGGGATCTTTGGCGCCCTCTGGTGGGCAAGCCTCCGGATCCCAACACATATTTTCCTAATCTATGACTCATATTGATAATTGTCTCCTGCTTTCAACCCCGACCATAAAGTAAATGCTTTGCTTTTCCAAACCATTCAAAATACAACAAACTTCAAATTATGAAAAGACAGGAGATAAATTATCTCATTTAAGTAGAATCTTGTTATCGACACTAAAACCTGCAGCCAAAATGCAACATCTTAATGAAAAATGAAAATAGCGGCACTGTTTGCTAATAATCAACCTATTTGTTTAAATTTGTCCCAGTGGGACCAAGACCAATAGATACCATGAATTTAATCTTAAAGAAAATAATGTTCCAATAGAATAATAAGAAGTTCTAATCTACTTTAGCATTGAGACTTTTAATGCATACTGTATGTTTAAAAGTTAGTTAAAAAATGGAATTACTAAATTGAAAGTTAGAACTCTGCATCATTAATCTGCTGAGCAGAGAAAATAATGAACATTCAAACGTTAAACATTAAAACTATATAATGTACAGTTAAAAAGTTATGATCTGGAATCTGTTTTCTTCGTCATATTTTTAGCAGTCAAAAAATGTCTTTGCATGTATAACTTCAATGTTTTAAATACATTAGACACATATATATATATTTGATTTAAAGCTATTTTAAGAACTTCTCTCAAAGTGAGTTTATGAATGTCCCTGATAAATCATTGCTGTGAGCTTTAAGGGTTGGTCTGAGTTGGTTAAAGTTTTAAATATCTGCTCTACATCTCCGCTCCCGGGGGAAAACAATAGCACTTATAAATAGGCACATAATCAGAGCTCTCTCTGTTTCTCTCCCACACACAGGCAGGCATCAGCAGAGATACACCATCAGACAGGAGGGGAAGATGGAGCAACAGGACGCAGCTCTGGATGAAGACATGTCTAAGTTTACTCTCCAGCCTTCTGGGTGAACAATCCTACAAAACATGTTTGACTGTTAAAGACAAAGAAGGAAGAGAGGAAGGAGGAAAGCAGCCATAGAAAACCTACGACTGTTCATGCAGAAACCCAGTTGGTTTTCCTGTGATTTTGGCTTTAACAACCCAAATGGTGAGTGTTTATAGCTTTATTTATATAAATATATATATATATATATATATATATATATATATATATATATATATATATATATATATATGTATATGTGGAGCTTGATGCTCCTGATGGAGAGGCTGAAAGGTCTCCACCTCTTTGAAACAAACTAAATCTGAAAGTTTTGTACTGAAGTTGGCATGTTGCATTCTACCCTGATTTCTGTTCTATTCAGAGTAAAAAAAAGAAAGTATTACTTTAACTGAAATGAAGGTTTGCAGAGAGTTAACAGATGTATCACCTAATCCTTCTTCCTGCAGCACTTAGCAGTAGCAATCCTCAGCACAGTCAATTGTTCCTGCGGGGTGATAATTGATTTTCAGCACCGGACAGCTCCCCTAGTCAGAATGAGGCGAAGCACGTCACGGCAAACAGCCTCGTTAAAAACCTCAGCCTGCATGAACCCATCAACCTGGATTCAGGACTTTCTCCTGCTGGGGTCTGAAGTTAATATCTTATTTTTAAAGGTTTATTTTTAATGAAATATAACAGTGAAACAGCTTAAATCATATAAAATGGGTGAAAATCTTAATTACGTTTAGTAATCTGACTATTTAAAAGTATTTATAACCATGATGTAAACTAACCACATGCATCTTATTTAAACTGTGAGCATGTTAAGGGTTCCTTAATGCTGAATGTATCATATTTGATGTTTTTGGAGACCAATACATCATCAGTGGGACATTTTTGGTTTGGAAAACCCTGACTTATACAATCAGAAATATTTAGACAGAAAATATCTAACAAAATGAATGGAAATATCTTATTAATCACGAAAGATTTCTATTTCAATTTATTTAAGAATTGATGGTTCTTTATCTTCATTTGTCAGAATGTTCAATATCTAGTTTATAAAAAATATAATTTTCTCAAAGTTATAATATTAGGCCATAAGGGACTCATTGGAAATTAGTTGAATTTTGTAGTTGATGAACAAATCCCCTAATTATTAAAAGCAAAATAAAAATAAAAAGTCAAAATAAGCCACATTATATAATCCCGTTCTATAACAGCTGAACTAATTCGGAAGATGATAAATTTTAAACTCATAAAATAAAAGAGTTTTCTTTGGACAAACCATAACTGTCCTGATAGATAATCGTAGGCGTTTATTTAACATGACTGCAGTCCTGCTAGAGCTGAACCAGGAACAGCAGGAGGCCAGAATAACTACTCAGATATGAAGGAACATCTTTCACCAAATGGGAGAAATTCTCTTCAATTTAAAAGAAATCCTGTTTTTCTTTAGCAAGAGAATTAAGTTTGTTGAGTTTGTTTTTTAAACGTTTGGGATTCAAATCTAAAACAACGTCTTTCTGTCTTTCTTTTATCTTTCTTTCTCTAAGAAGTAGAAAGTCTGTATTATTTATTTTCCTTCATAATTATTCACACCAGTCAATAACTGAATAAATGTTTTTTCAATAACATCTCAATGCAATCTATTAAATGTGAATTATTGATGTTGTAAACTAATAAATGATTAGCCTTACTGTTCCCTACATTAATGTTGCATCTCCATCATCGAGGTCAGAGGATGACACACAGTAGAGTAAAATTCACACCATATATCAGGCGCTGTTGCTGAGCAATATTGATATTTGAAATTGTTTTCTGATAGATTGTTAGAAAGGAATGGGATATGGCCCCCCTCCCCCCACCCCATATTTAATTAAAGACTCTGATCTTTTTAGAGAGCAAAAAGCTTCCTGGTCCTTTAATTTCTGGTAAATCTCATATTTTTTAGCTTCTGACTGGGAAATAATGATGCTTACTACAATGTGACCCTCTTCTTGAGGGGGCCTTTAAAACACCTGGTCTATTTTAATACACTATCCCTGTTTTTACTGGATTTTATGAGTTGTAGCTAGATTATGTTAACTGCTTTACACAATAAAACATCATTACTGATTCACAATGAACAAAACAAGCCAGTAAGTGAACTAGAGAAGACATGTTCCCATGGAGACTGCCTTATACAGTAATTAAGATCATTATTACTTACCGCTACTCTCTTCCAGGACTTCTGTCAGCTGGGAAATGGCTGAGCACACACTTGAAGAAAAGTGAGGCAGATTTACTTTGATTAGAAGGACTCAGTGGTCATTTTATCAACAAAAGCAGCAGAACGAAAGAATCAAAATTATTTAAGGCTAAATTATTGAATGATGAGCTGAATAAATGTAGGATCTGTTCCTCCAGGATTTAATAGCATCTGGGATTATGATTAAATGGAAAAATTTGGAGAGCTTGAAAACCGTTGAATAAACAACAACATGTTTGTGAAACGAGCGAGGAGGCCAAGAAACATCCAGACCTTTATGATGAACAAAAGCTTCTGGCTCCTCAGAGACCAGAAATGTTTAACTGAGGCCTTTTCTTTGCTTTTTTATGTTGCCTTGAGGACCAAGAGTAAAATTTAAGTCAATTCAGTTTATTTCCAGATCAGTTTAGATGAAAATCAACCAGATCTTCCAGTCAGGTTGATTTATAGCTTCTATCTAAGGAAAACCAGCTGATTGCATCGACTCATTGACTCTTCAGCAATCCCTCACATTAAGCATGCTTGTAGCGACAGTGGAGAGGAAAAACTTGAACAAAAAGAGAGCTCCAGCAGAACCAGGCTCAGGGTGAGCGGTGTGGAGTAAAAAACATTGAGGTACGTCTGTTCTTAGCCTCCCAGGCTCCAAACGAAGGTCATGAGAGATAAGAATGAGTCACTCAGCCTCCTTCATGGCCTGAAGGGGAGGACTGCTGTTATTAGGAGATCCATCTGACCACTGAGCCAGCTCCCATGTCAGAGGATGAAGAGAGCACATCCAGTTAGTCACAGTCAGAGAAACAGGACTACACTGGAAAACAGGCCAAGCTCCAACATCTAGAAACAAAGGTGTTGATGGCAGCAGCACAGCTGGAATGATAAAGTCTGACATGGGAGCTGGCTCGGAGCTCGTCTGCCTGGCTGTGTGTTTCCTGGACGGGGCCGCCTGTGGAGCTGGTTGACAGTTGCCTTTTGTATCTATGCTTCTTTTTCTATGTCTGCTTCTGTCTCCTTGAACCCCAGTGGGCCTCAGCAGATGGCCGCTCACACTGAGCCTGGTTCTGCTGGAGGTTTCTTCCTGTTCAAAGAGAGTTTTTCCTCTCCACTGTCGCTACAAGCATGCTTAGTGTGAGGGATTGCTGAAGAGTCAATGAGTCGATGCAATCAGCTGGTTTTCCTTAGATAGAAAACTTTGAATCAATCTGACTGGATGATCTGGTGAACTGGAAAGTGACCTGAGATGACATGATGTGAATTGGAGCTATAGAAATAAACCGAATAGAATTGAATTGAAATTGAATTGATTATCATAAATCAAGTCATTGACCAGCTGACTCTTTGTTATTTTAATTTTAATTAGATTATCATGATTTACTCCTTTGGGAATCTTTGCTATTTTATTCCATTTTGTCTGGATGGAGTAATGAGTAACAGTAGAGAAGCTGCAGAGAGGTCTGTTAAACTACTTCCAAATAGAAAATAACATTAAAGCAAGAAGTTTCACTTTAACAGAAACAATCTGTGTAACTTTTTAAAGTTTATTTCAACTCACAAAGATTCACAAAGAGAAAAGCAGCAATTAGAGAGTTTTATTGAGGTGAAGAAATGAAAAGGTTTTTATCACTCAGACTCCTGCAGAAAACATTGGTGCTGAAAGCAGCTGTTTAATGTTAGAGGTCAGCTCTGACTTATAGGCGGCAGATAAATTTAATAAGTTAACGAAGCCAATGACAAGTTAAACTAAAGTAGATCAGGTCTTCATTTGTTAAATATTCTAAACAGGCTGAGACTGAATCAGCCTCAGGTCAGTGTCCTAAACCAACCCTTCACATAATTCATCATTTTCAGTTCCTTCCAGAAGTCTTTCTGTTTCAGGTGAAGCTGTTGCTGGACTGAAAGGTCAGGAAGTTACGTCCAAACAGGTGCATCAGGGGGTCCTACGCTGAAGCACCCGTTAATGTGAAAAGGACGAACACCATCATCCAACAGAACCTAGAATAGTCCAGTCAGAGCTGTTAGCACAGTAGAGCCACCAACCCCAGCAGGATCCCATGGTTATAGAAAACAAAGAACAGATATTTTCTAGACCTTATGAAGAAAAACTGTCTCCCTAAACTGTGTGTTTGATTTCCAATAATCGGATCTGTATCATGCCAGATGATGACTCCTCCATAGTGTCCAGAGCTTAGAGGGATAAAATGGTCTAACTTCTCTCCGTACAAAAGAATCGGTTGATAAAGTGGCACCAAACAAGCAGGAATAGTTTCCTGTTTGAATGATTTTACGTCTGGCTGGAGGATCTTCCATGTTTTCTGTCAGCTAACGCTGTGATTGGTTGCTGAGAAAATCCTTCTGCTCTCTATGCATTCATGGTCAAAGATCATCCTCCCAGCCGACCAATCAGAAGCCAGTTTATAACGTCAGCTCTGGAAGCGTCACTTACACTCAGCAAATATGAAGGAAAAGAAAATCCCATCAAGCTTGGAGTAATTTGTGTGCAGAGGGTTTTGTCTTTATTAGTAAAACATCAGTTCTGTTGAAACGTTGCTTTTAAGCTGCAGCTCGCTGGATTTATTGTTTGTTTTTCTGAAAGCATCCATCATTATTTTGTTTAATGCTGTTTAGTTATTTTAACCATAAACCACTGATGACCTTTCTCATCACATACGATTGGCCCTCTGGTGCTTATGCAACCCAATGCTTTCTGGTTCCTCTTGCTGACATAACCTTGAAATGGGGCCAAAGAGCAGATCAATTGTTCCTCTAACAGTGGATTACCACTGATTCCGCTCTTTTTCAAACCTTCCCCTGCCTGTCTGGTTTTCCACCCGTGGTTGCTCTGAAGCGGCCTAGGGCTAATCACTGGCTAAGAATGCAATCAATAGGCTTTCATTACGCAGATCTGTTGCGTCTGCTCCGTGCATTAGGCAGTGCTGACACCTCTCGCACATTGACCATGAGACTCACGCAACCGGCCTGTTTCACACGTTCTTCAACCATACAGCAACTTTCACACTTGGTTGAAAAACAATTTCACATCTGATAACATCACCTTCTAAAAAGAGGACAGAGGCAATAGACTGGGAGAGAGATGTGAGGAAACTCCTTACTTTATGCACTATGACTTGACTTATTTTACACCAAGCAGTGAAAATGTCAACTGTGACTCTGGAGGAGCTGTAGAGACCTACAGGTGTGGTGAGAAGATTTTTATATCACCTCCTCCCCTCCACCGACCCCCTTCCATAAACCAGACAGATGTAAATAAACTGTTGAGAAGGCAGAAGCCTTGAAAGCTGCAGGACCAGATTCCGTCTCTCCATCCAGCTCTATGCTGATCAGCTGTCTCCAACGTTCGCATACATTTTGAACACCTAACTGGTCACATGCCACGCACCATCCTGCCTCAGATCCTCCACTGTTATCCCTGTTCCCAGGAAGACAAGGTTCACATGACCTAATGGACCCGTCACCCTGACCTCAGTGGCTATGAAGTCCTTTGAGCACCTTGTGCTCTCACGCCTAAAAGAGATAACTGACCCCCTCCTGGACCCCCTACAGTTTGTCTACAGAGCCAACAGGTCTGCAGGCAACGCTTTCAATTCGGCCCTTCACTCCATCCTCCAGCACCTGTGAATTGCAGCTCTGCCTTCAATCCAATCATCCCAGCTCTGCTCCAGGAGAAGCTCTCCCAGCTGAAGGTGTCTGACTCCACCTGAAGGTGGATTACAGACTTCCTGTCTGACAGGAAGCAGCAGGTGAAGCTGGGAAACGATGTCTCCTCCTCCCAGCTCCTCAGGGCTGTTCTTTCTCCTCTGCTCGTCTCCCTGAACACCCGCAGCTGCTCCTCTAGTCATCAGTCGTTGAAGCGTCTGAAGTTCATGGACGCCGCCGCTCTCATGGGACGTATCTCTGATGGAGACGCCTACAGGTGGAGGTTGACCATCTGGTGACCTGGTGGAGGTAGAACAACCTGGATCTGAAAGCAGTGGAGATGGTTGAGGGCTTCAGAAAGAACTCAGCCCCAGCTATGTCCATCACTCTCTGGGACTCCACTGTGGAGTCTTTCTTCTTCCTGGGAACGATCATCTCACAGGACCTAAAGTAGGAGCTGAACATCAACTCCTTCACCAAGAAAGACCAGCAGAGGATGAACTGCAGCAGCTGGAGGACAACGATGGTGCTCTTCTACTCCTCCATCCTCCTCACCTCCTCCACATCTTCCATCTCTCCAGGATCTGTAAGCCTCCAGGACTCTGAGGTCTGAAGGCAGATTGAAGCTCATCATTTACACCCCAACCACAATCTATTTCAGTCCCTTCCCTCTGGCAGGAGGCTGCGCTCCATCAGGACCAAAACCTACGATCTTCCCATCTGCTACCAGCCTGGGGCCCCCGGTCACTCTGACACTGCCTCTCTCTCCTCTGTTCAGGACCTACAAGCTACACCAACATGTCTATTGTGTATATAGTATATTTCTATATACTATATTATGTCTTTATATTGTGTATAACTATTAATTCTATATATATATAATTTGTCTGCATCATCAACATCAAGTCAAACTCCTTGTAAGTTCAAACCTACTTGGCAATAAATCTGATTCAGATTCTGACAAAATATGTTTATGTATGCCTTGCAATGCACTCGCGGACCACTAGGGGTACGAGTAACCCCGGGTGGGAATCACTGATCTACTCCATTAGTTTTCATAACAAGCTTCTGGTTTTGTGAGGCTTGTTTCTCTCAGTAGAGAATTGGAGGGGAAAACTTTACTTTATAATTACATTTCATATACCTATATATATATCATATTATCATATACTTATTTATTTATTTATATATATATCATATTCTATAGATTCTAAGGAAACATATTCTATAGAGGAACAGGCCGACGGGTTCATAAGAGCAACGCTGCAACCCTTTTTCTTTCGCCTTTGATTCTGACTGTTTTTCTTCATTTCCTTGTTGGATAAATAATTCATAAAACACAGTAATAAAACACAGTCTTCATCTTATCTTTCCACAGGAAATGTTTGATGACAAAAGATGCCTGATCAGCACCGTACGACAGGCCTGAGCTCCTACATCCTCCTCGTCCNATATATCATATTCTATAGATTCTAAGGAAACATATTCTATAGAGGAACAGGCCGACGGGTTCATAAGAGCAACGCTGCAACCCTTTTTCTTTCGCTAACAGCATCAACGTAAGCCTTTGATTCTGCCTGTTTTTCTTCATTTCCTTGTTGGATAAATAATTCATAAAACACAGTAATGTGTTATTATGCAGAGTTATTACAACAGGGCTGAACCAAGGACTGTGTTGTGCGGATCATACCATCTCATTAACATTTTGTTTCTCTGCAGGTTCAATACTTTCTCACCTGTCACAAGATTTACAATTAAACCACAATCTGTCTTTGCATTTAGTTATCACAGTATGAATTTTCTTTAGTACTATTCCTTTATTCATGTTTAGAGTCCATGTTTCTGATTATTCAGTAAAACACGGTCTTCATCTTATCTTTCCACAGGAAATGTTTGAAGACAAAAGATGCCTGATCAGCACCGTACGACAGGCCTGAGCTCCTACATCCTCCTCGTCCAGTAACAGTACGTTAATGGTTGCAACTGGCTGCCCCAGCCTCCATTACTGCCCTCGCAGACACAGCCTGATGATCAGCGGTGCCATGGGAGCGGTGAGGGTCAACAGGTGTGTTCACTTTAAATCAGACCATAAAACCTGAAACAAACACAGTTATTGTTTGGGGTTTTGGAGTTAAAGGACAGTATGTGTCTTCTTTTTTTTTATACATTGTGGGGCCCATTTTCAGGGAAAATAGCATGTTGTGAGGACCGGCTGCTCCATGTGGGCCCCGATGCCTGGACCCCACCAGGGGAAATGTGGTTTTTGGGTCAGGGGTAACTTAGAACTAAGGTGTGAATTAAGTTTAGGGTTAGGCTAACGGTTAGACTGTAGAAATCTATGGAAGTCAATGGAAAGGCCCCGCAAAGAAAGAGAGATGGGCCTTGGGGGGTGTTGTTGGTGCTGGAGGGGCCCCTGAGCTCCTTTAGCTGCTCATAAACAGCAGGCGGATGCATTGATATCCTGCAAAGCAGAGAGTTTAAAACCCAAGCTGGTATGGGGTAGTGGGAGGTCAGGCGCAGCATTGACGTCAGCAATGTGCATCAGATTTGATTTCACATTTACTCTGAAATGCTGCGGCTCACAGGTTGCATGAGCAGGGATTCAGATCCGATGTAAAGGTCATAGGTCAGCAGGGGCAGGGGTTATTCAGAGCTGGGCTAATTTCTACCCCAGTCGCTGCATCTGACTGCACCTCTGCATGGTTAATGATCAGCTCACTTAACACCTATGATTCTAACAGGCAACCAAAATATCCTTTAGATTTTAATTATCTCACAATGATTTATGTTTCTTAGAGCGAGGAAACACTTTACCAGTCCTGCACATTAACACTGATCTTAATCTCTTTCAAATGTGTCAGATTTCATCTCAAGGCACTTTACAGTTCATCTGATGTCAGTTTTAAGAAAATATAAGAAGAGTGTAGTCCTGTTTCTCTGACTGTGACTAACTGGATGTGCTCTCTTCATCCTCTGACATGGGAGCTGGCTCGGAGCTCGTCTGCCTGGCTGTGTGTTTCCTGGACGGGGCCGCCTGTGGAGCTGGTTGACAGTCGCCTTTTCTATCTATGCTTCTTTTTCTATGTCTGCTTCTGTCTCCTTGAACCCCAGTGGGCCTCAGCAGATGGCCGCTCACACTGAGCCTGGTTCTGCTGGAGGTTTCTTCCTGTTCAAAGGGAGTTTTTCCTCTCCACTGTCGCTACAAGCATGCTTAGTGTGAGGGATTGCTGAAGAGTCAATGAGTCGATGCAATGAAATCAGCTGGTTTTCCTTAGATAGAAAACTTTGAATCAATCTGACTGGATGATCTGGTGAACTGTAAAGTGCCTTGAGATGACATTATGTGAATTGGAGCTATAGAAATAAAATAAATAGAATTGAATAGAATAGAATTGAAGAGCTGCAGAGTTAGGAAATCCCTAGAAAGAGTTAACATCATGGCTTAGAAGCTGATAACTTAGCAATTAACTTAAAAATGAAAATATTTATAATCATCTAAAAATATTATGCAATCAAGCCTAATATATTGTCTGATAATCTCATTATGAATTAAGTAATAATAAGATTTCTCTTTCTTGCGTTAATTTCTGAGAAACTGATATGGAGAAATATCAGATTATATGTTTCTGTTATATATTTGTCACGACTCAAAACAGAAAGTCTCAGTATTCAGGCAAAGCAGATTGTGGGATTATTCAAAAAGCGTTTATTTAAAATGAGCAGTCTGCGGATCTGCAGTAGCAGCAGTTAGATTTGATTATCTCGTTTGATTTGCAATTAAGGCAGGAAACTCTGGAGAAACAGAGGGCGAAGTAAGGAGGAAGATCCAGGTTCAGTCCACAAGTAGAATCCAACAAGAAGCCAAAGACAGGTCAGGCAAACAGAACAGGCAGCCTCAAAGGTCCAAAGACAGAAACGGGTCAGGATCAGGCAACCACAACACAAACTGGTAAAGCTAGAATAATTCTCACACCCAAGAATGAAACGAACCATTAAGCCAGTGATCAGCGCCAAGAAAATATTCATATCACTATGATGTTACCTGGTCATTTTAGTCACTGTTTTTCCTCTTCTTTCCTTCATCCTTCAGATACAGCATTGTTTCCACTGATGAAGATGCCTTAAAGATATCCAGCTTGGGTCTCCACAATGGCCACAGTCCTCTGACTCAGCAGAACCTATCAGGGGCGTGCATTCGGGGTGAGGACGGAGGGGGAGAGTATTTAGGAGGTGAAGAAGCTCATGGGGCTTTGCCTTTGAGGATGACCAACGAGCCAATCATCCACAGCAGCTGTCGCTCCTCACCTTTGTGTCGTCTGGACCTTGATCTCAGCACCGGACGGCTGCGCAGCCGCTTCGTCAAGAAGAATGGCCAATGCAACGTGGTTTTCAACAACATGGAGGGTAAACCACGAAGATACCTGGCAGATATTTTCACCACTTGTGTAGACATACGCTGGCGTTACTTGCTGCTTATCTTTACCGCCACCTTCCTTCTGTCCTGGCTGCTGTTTGCTTTCATTTTCTGGGGAGTGGCTCTTGTTCATGGAGACTTTGAGCTGCAGCTCCCTGTAGCAGATGAGAATCCTAGAAGTAATCCAGAGGAGGCCAAAGATAAAAGGCGTCCATGCATTCTCCACATCCAGGGGTTCATTGGGGCTTTCCTCTTCTCAATAGAGACCCAGACCACTATTGGATATGGCTTCCGTTGCGTCACCGAGGAATGCCCGATTGCTGTTGTGACAGTAGTAGTGCAGTCCATTGTTGGCTGTATAATTGACTCTTTCATGATCGGCACCATCATGGCAAAGATGGTTCGCCCTAAAAAGAGGGCGCAGACCTTGCTGTTCTCTCATAACGCCGTCATCGCTCTGCGAGATGGTAAGCTGTGCCTCATGTGGCGCCTGGGGAACATGCGTAAGAGCCACATTGTTGAAGCCCATGTGCGTGCTCAGCTCATCAAAGCGCATGTGACGGCGGAGGGTGAGTACCTTCCCTTGGAGCAGACAGACATCGACGTCGGCTATGACGACGGACTAGATCGGCTGTTTCTGGTGTCCCCGCTGGTTGTGGTCCATGAAATCAACAAAAACAGTCCTCTGTATAACCTGAGCCGCTGCGACCTGCAGAAGGAGGACTTTGAGATTGTGGTCATTTTGGAGGGGATGGTGGAGGCGACAGCCATGACTACACAGGCCAGAAGCTCCTACTTGGCCAGGGAGATACTTTGGGGTCACCGCTTTGAGCCAGTGGTGTTTGAAAAGGGTGACCGCTACCATGTGGACTATTCTCGCTTCCATAAGACTTACGAAGTGCCATCTACACCTCACTGTAGTGCCAGAGAACTGAGCCAGAGGAAGGGCCACAGTGGTCACTTGTCCTCCTCCAGTTCAAGCTTCTCCCGATCTCCGTCACTTTTCGCTCCGAGAGCAGCAAGACGTTTGCAGGGATCTCACTCTCCCAGTGCTTTCTGCTATGAGAATGAAGTAGCTCTGTGCTGCGGAGACGACGCAGATGATGAGGAAGCAGATAAGGACATGGACAGCCTCAAAGCAGGAAGTAAAAGGGAGATCAAAATTAGAGATGACATTCACTTGGATTTCAAAGGGGCATTTGTGAAAGAGCAAACAGTGGAGATGCTGTGTGTTCTGGACTCAGAAAACCAGATCAGCCTGGATAGACTCCAGCCGACTCTTCCTTTATACATCAGCAGAGAATCGGGAGTTTAACCACAATTTCTGCCTTTTTTGTTATTGTCTGATTCAACCAAAGTATTGAACTGATTGAAATTCAAGATATAAGATGCATGATGTGAGAAAGCGTTGTATTTTTCTAGACCTGGAATAAGTTTTGGCTCTATATAACATTTACCAATTTCATTTATAAAATACATGTAGATGCCAGTCAGTGCTCCTTTACTTCTAATTGTGGTGACCAAGTATTTATTTCCACAAATGTAAATGTATTTCCTGATCCGTTCAGTATTATTTGTGCTTGATCTGTTTCACAAACCGAATATTTTTCTTGTCAATTTGCATTTTTTGTTGTTGTAAATATTTGCTTTTATTAATTTATCTCAGATCTTTTCAGATCTTAGGGCAGAATTTTAACTTATTATTTGCTATAATGGCAAGAAAGCACAAAATCCTTTTCTAGATTATCTGCTTTTTAAAATTCTGTCTTTAATGCGACTATTTGCGGATCAATCTACTTTGTTTTTAAGTGACCAAACGCAAATAAGTTATATAGTGCAGAAAAAGAGACTTTAAAGTTAAACCTGTACGAATGAAGAACAAGCACTTTATTCTATTATTATCAACAAAAACAAACATTTTGTTTTGTTTTTGTTTGATCAAAGCATCCATTAAACAGCAGTTTGTAATGTTCCAGTTTTCTCTCTGCCTCTTTTTACCGTTGCCCTCTAGTTTTACTCAGGTGTTTACCTTCTGCTTAGTACAGAGGGTAGCACTGCTGCTTTGCAGCCAGAAGGTTCCGGGTTTGATTCCAGTCCCGGGTTTTTCTGCATGGAGTCTGCATGTTCTCCCTGTGCATGTGTGGGTTCTCTCTGGGTACTCCGGCTTCCTCCCACAGTCCAGAAACATGAATGTTTCTGGAAAAATGTTTTTTTGTTTTTTTTCTCTGGTAGCCTGGAGTTTCAGACCGTGATGCGTGTGCAGCTGACTGTGAAGCCTGTTAATGTCGGTGACGGTATAAAGAACATGCAGAACTTTAGAGCACCTTCAAATAAATGAATGACTGAACCAAATCATAAACTGCTCCTTAATCTTTTGGATTAAAGTTACACCCAGCTGAATAAAGGCGTTATGCAACACGTGTGTTTGTTGTTGTATCAGTCAGATTTAAAGAGCCGATAAATAAGGGGAGTGATGGCCTAGTGGTTAGATCATATCTCTCCTATCCTGGCTTCTCTTCATTGGCTTCCTGTTAAATCCAGAATAGAATTTAAAATCCTCCTTCTAACATATAAAGCCTTAAATGGCCAAGCTCCATCTGATATCAGAGATCTGATTGTTCCTTATGTTCCTAACAGAGCACTTCGCTCTCAATCTGCAGGTTTACTAGTGGTTCCTAGAATTTCTAAAAGTAGAATGGGAGGCAGATCTTTTAGTTCTCAGGCTCCTCTCCTGTGGAACCAACTACCAGTTTTAGTCCGTGAGGCAGACACCCTGTCTACTTTTAAGGCTAGGCTTAAAACTTTCCTTTTTGATAAAGCTTCTAGTTAGAGTGGCTCAGGTTATCCTGATCTATCTCTATAGTTCTGCTGCTATAGGCTTAGACTGCTGGAGGACATAGGGACCCCTTTTTCATCATTCTGCTTCATTCTATCTCTATTCTCCCACTCTGCAGAATCTGTTAGTTCAATCTCTAACGTTCTGCTCTCTCTGCTTTTTCTCATAGTAGCTTCATCTGGTCTGTTCCTGTTTGGCTGTGACTCCATCCTGGAGAGAAACATCAGCTGTGCTGCTGCCATCAACACCTTTGTTTCTAGATGTTGGAGCTTGGCCTGTTTTCCAGTGTAGTCCTGTTTCTCTGACTGTGACTAATTGGATGTGCTCTCTTCATCCTCTGACATGGGAGCTGGCTCGGAGCTCGTCTGCCTGGCTGTGTGTTTCCTGGACGGGGCCGCCTGTGGAGCTGGTTGACAGTTGCCTTTTGTATCTATGCTTCTTTTTCTATGTCTGCTTCTGTCTCCTTGAACCCCAGTGGGCCTCAGCAGATGGCCGCTCACACTGAGCCTGGTTCTGCTGGAGGTTTCTTCCTGTTCAAAGGGAGTTTTTCCTCTCCACTGTCGCTACAAGCATGCTTAGTGTGAGGGATTGCTGAAGAGTCAATGAGTCGATGCAATCAGCTGGTTTTCCTTAGATAGAAAACTTTGAATCAATCTGACTGGATGATCTGGTTGAACTGTAAAGTGCCTTGAGATGACATGTGTTGTGAATTTGGCGCTATATAAATAAACTGAATTGAATTGAATTGTATTGAATTGAATTGAAAATAAATCTGCAATCATGTCAGAAATGTTGGAGGAAATAATCATAGGGAAACTTTGTGGAAGTTTTTCTGATGTTTAATATCTTCAGCAGATTTTATGTTGATTAAAACCTTTAAGATTATTTCTCTACACTCTGATTTTCTCACTTTGATTTAGAGACAGAACTTTGTCTTTGCTTCAAGTCTAAAACCCAAAGTTTTCTGATGGTGTCTTCAGAGGCCACTGACTGAGACTCAGGCGCCACCCTGTGGTTGAGCGGTGAAACTACACTAAGAGTCATTTATTCAACTATTTGATTTACAGCCTGTTTTTCACCACTTCTTCCGGCTTATAGGACATCTGGTGTAATAGCTTTCCTCTAACAAAAGCAAACTAATCCACCATCTGGAGGGGGACACATAGTAGTGCCAGCATCATGCTGTGGGGAATTTTATCAGCATGGACAACATCCAGAGTTCTACTGAATGTTTTACATCAAATGTATGTT